AAGCTTGGATCTGCTGCACATCTCGCCGCTGATCCTGTACCGCCCTGGAGTCGCCACCACGTTTTTATTCGTGTATGTTTTACTAGCCTTGTGAATCTGTACACTGCCGTAGTGTCTGGCTCTAGCACTTGAACATCTCGAAAAGCCCCGCCCGCCCACATCCAGGTACATTGCCTTCAATTGTGCCACAGCCTCAGCTACGCCGCCACGCAGTATCACTCGCCCGGCCTAATGTAGGTCCGCAAAGTATGGGACTTTGTCTACGTTGCTGTGAAGCCTATGAGATATCATGTTTCACGGCCTGTCCGCCTGCCTCAGGTCGGACATGATAGCTGCCTTGACCGCAGCAGCCTCTGCTAGGTCCTGCCCCTGATCTAGCCCAGCCTTTTGCCTTGAGGCACCCATCCTCAGCCCCTGAGGATCTGCCTACGCCTTTCTGGCTCTCCTTAGAGCTCAGGTAGTGGCCAGCACAAGACAGGTTTCACTCAGCTTTCACCAAGTCTAGTCAGGGGGATTTTATATGCCCGCGGTAGCCTACTGCCGACTGGGCATCCCCCCGGCTAGCCGCGAGCCTAACAGATGCAACACGGTATAAAAAGATGCCTATGTTCAGTGCTAGAGCAGTGCAAGTCTAGTTGAACTGGAGATCTTGGTAAGACAGCATTGTACTCTGTACAACACAATGCAGAAAGCCGCACACACCTGATCGAGCATGCGAGGTCATCTTGAAAAAACATGCCCCCAACATAACTCAAGGCAAACAACAAGCGACCTAAATCCTAATCTAGGAATTTTTCGGGATACAGGCTAGGAAATCGGGCAAGGGGGGGATGTCAAAATTAGGGATTTTGGTAAGGAATGTTGGGAAGTGTGTGGGGGACCCTAAGGATAAAACGATAGAGGCGTTTGCAGGAGGGCGGGCGGGATACTGGAGGCTATCCCTAACTCTGCAGGGCTACGTTCACCATTGCGACGCCTGAGGCCTATGGCTTTGGCGGATTTGCATTGGATCGTGACACCAAGAATCGCAGTTTCCGATGGCCCTGCCATTCAAAATTAAACAAGGACAACAACATTATGTTTATGTAAATTAAAGTAGGACAGCACCAAGGCCGTTTGATATGTGCCAAGGCACCTCCACAGAAAAAACCCTTTTTCGAGAAAAAAGACGCGCTCTCGTTCTGATTTGTTTGTGCTCTTTACGGTCGGTCGTGGAAACAAATCTGAGGACATGCTCCAATCAGTTCAGGCGGACTTTCGCGGTTCAAGTACTGTACAAGTTGATTGCTTACTACCGATTGTGCCCTTCCGTTGGCATTTTTGGTGAATGGCATGTGCTTGCAATGCGGGGCTAAACCTCAACGCCGAATCTTGCGGAGCAAGCGGACATGCAAATGATACAACCGCTGCAAAGGTAGCAGTTGCACATTCGCATCAAGCGATGTGAGCAGAGACAGTCGCACGAGGGCACACTGCAGTGTTTTCCATCTCGACAGAATGAAGTAATCTACACAGTGGCATGATGCGGCTGCTGTGGTGGATGCCTGGATGCATCCACAATGTCCAGCACCAGATTGCAAACAATGCTTTTCGTAAGCATGCCTTGTACTGCCCAGGATATTTTCCTTGTACTTGGTGCTTCCTGGAGTTGCGGCTTTCAAGCACAAGGCAGGACGGATTGAACATTGCAACATCTTCACTATGTGGTGCTTGGCCGCATGGACCTTGTGTTGATGGTTGTGGTTGCGCTTGCGGGAACACGCTGGGCAGCCTTCAAGGAACTATTCGCGCCCGGTTCCTGCCACCGGACTGCACAATGCAAGGGTTTCGTGGATCCCATGCAACTTGGCAGAACGCTCAGCCACTAAGGAGTACATCCACTTGAATTTGCAGTCCTGGGAACGTGCATCTGGGGGCCGTTGTGGGAAGCCAGTTCTGATCAACAGGACGAATGTCCGACAGTGGAGACTCGGTGCAGTGGATGTCTTACAGCGCACGATGTGGATGCACGTAGCTTTCAAGCGATTCCAACACATGTCGCCATGCTGCAAGGATTCCGGATGCACCGGAAGAATTGTTCAGAATCCCATACGAAGCGGCAGAATCGGATGCAATACGCTATGCATTGATTTACCACAATGGCGGTGTCTACATGGACACAGATTTCCTGGCCATCGACATGACATCCATCATTGATCGGACCATATCTCAGCGGCATCAAAGGCAGCGCAGCAGTTTTGAGCAGATTGGCAAGGAGTCTCAACTAAGGATTCAGGACCACGACATTATAACATATACCGCCGAAGGGCAGAAGTTCCACAAGGGCCAGTTCAGCTCAAACTTTTTGGCTGGCAAAAAAGGCAGCAAGGTGATGGGTGCAATCTGGAAATCCCAGAAGGAGCACATGCAGCGGCATTGTCCCAAGGACACCGTGCGGTGCTTTGCAATGTAGCACAAGTCCAGCATCTTATCAGACAGGACATGGTGCCCAAATCTGGAATGTGTTGCAACTTGGCGAAGTTCCAGTCCACTCCCCCACAGGAAGCGGTCGGGTTATTGGATCAGGCTACGACGATCCATCGCTGGCCTGCTCCGTCCGTTGGGCTGGTCTTGGTGAAGGGATTTCCCATCCAGCGCTCATCAATCTCTTCAAGCACCATGGCGGACATAAAAATCAACCGTCTGTCTTGTCTGAGCCCGTGTAAGTACAGACTTATATAGCACCCAAAGTCGTCGGTGCAAATTGTCGGTGCTGAAGATTTGAACAGAGTGAGCAATGCATGGGTTCGCCGCCTCAGCCTTGTCTCGCGCAAGCTTGCAGTGTTGCAGGAGGAACGAGAGCTTCAAGAGTTACATCTTTGATGGCGACGAGAGCTTCGTCCCTACCGGCCGCTTGGTTTAGCTTGAAGCCTTCACGCTAATCCTGTACAACCTTTCCAGTTTCCGGAAATGCTCTGGGCGAGGTTTGGTGGAAGTCTTGAAGCGAAAACTTTCGGTGAGCGATGCCCTGGCATACTGGAAGCGACGATCGGTGAAGCAGCCGCTGTCTCGGAAGCTTTATCACCTCTTCAATTCCCAGGCTGGGCTCAGAAGTCGAACAGACCAGACTCTACACAACCTCTCGATCAGGGCTTTGCGGATGCCTATTCCTGCTTCGATCTGACGGCTGACAACACAACAGCTGGTCACCAAGAGGTTCCTACAAGTAGCAGTCCTGGTGGCACACAGAGCAGTTCAACGCTGAGCGTGGCCAGGCTGTCCAGGTATCGGCTTGGAAGCTTTTGCCATCTTGCGGTTCTTGTGGATCTGAGGTGGCAGGAGAGCTCTACAAGCGAAGTCAGGAGCGCTCAAACAGCAGGGGAGCATGTTCCTTGGATAGGTTCTTGGCTTTGTGGCTTGCGCAGGTCAAGCGAGCCATTGCAGCTCATGACGGGCCTGCGTCAAAGTGCGTAGCTCTCAGTGGACAACAGATTTCTGCAGGTGTTACCAAAACTCTTGACCAAGGTGCAAACGATGGGGGTCTTTGCCGGTGCACCGGAAATGTTTTCTATGGTCGGGTTCCTGAGTAGACTACCAGACTACCACGTTCCACGTCCGTTCTTTTTGCCGAGGCCGACGTTTTGTGTGTGGTGGCGCCCAGCAGACAGACCTAGCGGCTTGCCATGGCTCGCCCTTGCCATCGGTTTCCGGAGTGTACTGAGTCCTGTGAGACAAGGCAACGCTACTGCAGACCCAGCATGCATCTCGCGCGGTGTCTTCTGAGATCCGGTGCAGTGCGCAGGACCATAGGCTTGGCGGTGGCACCTGAAGCTGAGCCTGTGAGATCCTGCAAGGACTTTGGAGGCGATCCGCTCTTCGGTGTTGCCAAACACTGTGCCTCGACCACTTGTCTCGGACTTCTTTCATGGCTTCCAAAGATTCCAACGGTTTCGGTGATAGTGACTGTGATGCATGTTGTCAGGCATCTGTGTGCAGCTTCGATAAAGTGATGAAACCGCGGCGAGGGCGCCCTTTCCAAAGAAGTGTGTGCCCCTGAGCCACGAGCATCATGAGCCCCAAGCAGCAAAAATGATGCGTGCCGGATCGCTAGAGAGTGCAGTCAGGGTCCGGTGCTAGCAAGCATCAGCAGCATTTATCATCCCGTGGGCGTGCAGCTGCAAGGCAGACCATGAGCAGCATGAACAAGAAGCATGTTGTATATGATGGCAAGTGGTTAGAGCTGGTTGTGTGACATTGTGGCTACTGACTGAGTGGGCCAGTAGGACGAGTGCGGGATGCGAGGCCTATGGAGTCCGTGGTGCCTTGTGCATGGCGCTCTCGTGCTCGCTTGCCCAAGGCTGAGCTGCGCGCATTCTCGCTTCGTTCGCTTCGGCATCTCAAAGAGGGTCCAGGGGGAGCGGGGCTTCCCCGGTTCCGCCGGTTCCGGGTTGCATGGGCAGGCAAAGGCAGGGACAGGGACGTCTTCGCTCAAGGCGTGACCCGCACAGTGACCGGAGCAATCTTGAGTCATGCTGCGAGCCGCTGGCAATTTTGGCCCTTTTGGCCCGGTCTGCGGCAGAGCCATCTGCAGATCCTCTTGCGCATTCTGCTTGCAAGAAGGGAGGCCGAGGCCGAGTTTCGGCGCCTTTGGGCGGCGAGTTTGGAGCGGTGTGGACCACGGTTGAAGCCGGAACAAGTGCTTCGAGCGCTCGAGGCGGTCGCGAAAACCGGAAGTCTCCGCGAGTCGCTTCCCGGCTTCATGCCGTTGCTCAAACGAACCAACGCGGAGATTGCTCGGCAGCCTCTCCGGCTCGTCCGAATCCTGGGTCTCCTCCGCGAGAACGAAGGTGCGACGGACAAAGGAACCTCACCCAAACCGTCCCGTATCATGTGACAGGTGAGTCTGGGCGAGCCGCCACCAGCGTCCTGCAGCTTTTGCAGCACTGTGCCCGCCATCTCTCCGAGAAGCATCAGGATTTCGGCACGGAGGCTCGGCCCTACGCCCAAACCCAAACCCAAACCCACCAAGCTTTGGCTTATGCTGTCTCACTGCAGGCGCTGACCGTCTTCTGCGCCGTGACCAAGGCCGCGGGGCGAGCCGCCTTTCGGAAACTTAGCGAGGAAGATTTGACGAAGCTGATCCGGGACGTGGCGCACCAGGCAGGCTTGGGAGGACTGGGAGGACTGGGACCCGTTCGAAGCAACGCGGCCGACGGGGCAGAGCTCTTCTGCACATTGGTGCGCCTGGGCTCCCGGGAGGGTTCGGCAGAGCTTCTGTCCTGGTTGTGTGGCTTTTTGAACGGGCGCATGGCGGGCGTCCCTGCAGAGATGTTGGCACCTCTTGCACGGGCTTTGGGCAAAGGAGATCCACACGAGGAGTATGTCCTGCTGCATGCCATATGCCAGCAAGTGCTGTGTGTGGGACTTCCAAGTGCAAACGCCGCCGCATCAATGCTCCTGGCATGCAGCAAATGGGAATTTTACGATGATGCCGTGTTTATGCTTGCTGCAGAATCTCTGAATAAAGGGGTCCACCAAGTCTCTCCGAGCCATCTCTGTGACTTGCTGTATGGGGTCAGCAGTTTGCAGATTCGAGATGCTTTGCCGCTGGACTCGCTGGATGCGCTCTGTGATGATCTGGTGAGAAGAGTGGAGGCACTGTCTGAAGCTGACCTCGTGCGTCTTCTAAGGGCTCTATTGAAGTTGCGACACCAGCATGAGCCTTTGCTGGCCGCACTTAGGCCTGTAGTGATGGAACAGCAAGCAAGGATCCAATCGATCAGCCTTTGCAACTTGATCAACGTTTTCTCTTATTTTGGAGGCCTGGATTGTGAAAGTCAGAAGTCTTTGCTTGACACAGCTGTCGGCAAAAGAGCGCGCCGGTTGCAAGCTGTCTCGGTGCAACACCTCCTCACAGCTCTCTGTCGCTTGCGGACCTCCGCCTCCGACTCGGAGCTTCCACTGGAGAAGCTCTGCCAGCACATTGCGACCTGCGGCGGTGGTGGGCCAGGCGGGCCAGGGCCCTGCACTTTTAGCCCAGTGCAAGCCGTGAGCTCCCTGGCGGCGCTTGCAAAGCTCCAGCAGCGCGACCTGGCCGCTTTGTCCGTGCTTCTTGGGGCGTTCACAGGTGCCATCTCCTGGACTTGGGCTCCGTCTCCACACTTTCTTCGCACGGTGGCGCTACCTTGCGAAGCACTCGGCGGCGGCAGTGGCCGCCGCACACTGGAGGCATGTCGACAGTCGTGATGCATAAACTTGTCTGTAGGCTGCAACCCTGCATGAAGGGGCTGGGAAGCTCCCACTGCGTCGAGATCCTGCAGAGCCTGGCTGCGTTGGATCTGAGCAGCCGCACGACGGTCCAGCTGACGGCGCTGCTGTGACTCGGGAAGCACGGAAGAGTGAGAGCGATAGCGGTGGGATGCGGAGACGCTGTGACCGAGGTGCGGCTTGCTTTGCCCTCAACTGCACGAGCTTCGAGCCAAAGAGGTGCTCGTGGTGGCCCGTGCCTTCAGCGTCGAGAGGCTGCCGGACCCGGCCTTCGAGGTCTGGGCCGAGGCCGACTCGGCCTCCGAGGCCGCCTCCGCCTCGGCCGCCTCCGCCTGGCGCGAGCGCGCCCTGGAGCTCTGCCTTGAGAGCCTGCGGCGCCACGAGAGCTTCCTCGACAGCTCTTGGGTCAGCTTGCTGCCTTTCAAGCCCCCCTCCGCCATAGCATATCTGGAGCTTAGGGTATTGAGTATTGAGTGGTTGGGTGGTTGGTTGGGGGGTGTTTTGTTGGTTCCGATTTGAAAAAAGCACAAGGGGTCTTTGCTCTAAGGTTGCTGTGCTTGCAAGTGAATTCGGGGACCTTCGGCACGCGTGCGTTTCGCGACTTCTTGAATCCCATGCTCTTCAGCTGCTCGCCGCAGAGATCACCACAGTTGCACTGTCCCGTTGCTGGCCCCTGTTGCGAGGTTTTGTGGAGCGGCTGAGGTGCCTGACCAAGGACAGCGAGTGCCTTGAGGTGAAGCGGGGTTCTGTTGAATGGTTTCAGGGTGTGGCTGGGTCGGAGTTGGCCGGAGGAGCAGTGCGACCAGAATCGCTTGCAGCGCGAGGGAGAGGAAACTTTGGAGGAAGAGGACACCTTGGGCATGGAGGCACGGACAAGGGCTGGTTGCACCTGGTGCAGCTCTTGTGGTGTAAGGGATGCCTCCATATGACCGATATGACTATCTCGATGATGTGGCCCAGAGTACAGGGCCCCGTCACGCCTGCACAGTCATTTGAAGGCACTATCGAGCAAAGGCAGCTAAGAGAAACCAACTGACATTTTCCATGTCAGGAACTCGTTCAGGAAAGGTTCAGAGGCATCGCCAGGGCATTGGTTACAGAATTATCGGGGGTGTGTCCGCCCTCGAGACACGGTTTCATCTCATATTCCAGGAACTTGCGGGAGCCTTCCATAGTGAACATTGCGAGCACTGAGTATTTGTTTGTCGCCACGGCTGTCGAAGCTACTTGTAAAAAGCGGTTTTCCTTCGATGTTGACAGCTCGCTCCTTGAGATCCAGAGTGCAGGGACCCGAGATGATTCGTGGAGCGAACTTCCGCATCTTCGTGGGAAGCTGCGAGCAGAACTTGCCAGTTATCTGACTTGAAATGGGCACTTTGCAGCATGAGACCAAGTGACTGCATGACTAAGGTTGATCTCGTGCTCTGTGCAGCTGACTCGCCAGGATAACTCGCCAAAATGATGCCGACACCCTGCTCGCGATTGGAGTAGTTTGTGTCCGGCTTGAGCTGCGGCACTTGGATCGGCTCGAGCTGTGCAGCTGCGTCTCTCTGTAGCCACGGGCCGCTGGCGGGGCCTGCCGTGGCTCGCCATGGACAAGGCAGGTGAAGCACGAATGCTGCTGGATTCGGTGGCAGTCCGTGGAAGCAGGTAATGCCAGTGGTCGGCGGCCTGGCCAGTGTGTGGGCAGCATACAAGGCCAGACGAAGAAGTGGATGAGAGCGGCTTCGTGATGTCGCACTTGCAGGTCATCCCAGTGATGTACCGTTGGGAGCTCATCCCTGGTGCCGGGACCCTGGCTGGTATGCTGTACTGATCTGTGCAGCCAGCTGGTGGCGACGATGTTGTTGGGATGGCCAGGTTGCATCAGAGGAGTGGTGGGCGCGCGCCAAAACGATTCGCTACGACCACTACACGGAGGTCCAGTGGACTGCAAGGCTTAGTGGGCACCCAGCGACTGTAGCACTCTAGCATTCAGCCCAGGGCATCGTGTATTCACCCTATGACACTGGTGAGCCCATCCGAGAGATGCCGGAAGAGTGCAAAGGCTTGGCATTGAATGGTCCACGTGAGTGGAAGCTCCTCATGTGAGCTTTTTCGGTTTCGCCCCACGTCAGGTAAGATGCTGCTGAAACAAAGGCGGGGAGGTTGGAAGCTTCAGAGCGAGATGGAGGAGATTGGGCTAGTGTTCCTGTCGTCGTTGACATTGAAATTCTCAAGACTCTCAACATTTGGCACATCTTGCTAGGAGTAGAGCTTCCCCGATGCCGCCGTGCTGAGTCGGGATCGCCATGAGTCGGTGTATGCTGATCTTCTACTTAGTTTCTACTTAATCTATTCCAAGTCCTTGTAGCCAACAGCGACGCGATGTTCTTGGTAGCTCGCTGCTCGTGATGTTTTTTGGTTTCAGCAGAATGGTGAGGACACTGAGGGAAAAGTCTTGGGCACGGGTATTATGCTCACGAGGTTCAGGACCCCGAAGATTGCAATTGCAATATAGATTCAGAATGCCGATTCGGCTCTGAGTGGAGTTGCATGGTGAGTTTAGTCTTCAGGCACAGCGCATGCCCAGTTCAACAGTATCGTGGCACAATCGTCGTCAGCTTTCATCCAATGCGTCTTGCAGTTCAACATCGGGAGATTGTAGTATTGAGCGACGATGTGTACAAGTTTCTGCAGGAGCACGATTTCGGGATGTTGCCTAGAGAGAATCGTGGACCTACCCCCTAACTTGGTGTGCACCATGTCAGATGGGGAGGCGTGCTGCTCAGGAGTGCTGGCAAGAAGTGGCACGTGTTCGACTGATCGAGATAGCGCACACGTAGCACTCAGGCTCCAGCCAAACCGGCGCCTGCACTAGAGGCCGGCAACGTGTGAGCTTCGCACAGGGTGAGACCATTTGCGGTTGTTTCACGTGGTGTCTTGCACTGGCCATCAGACATCGTTTGCGTTGATTTGTCTTTGGTTTTCACCTTCTTCAGCACTTCATGGTGCTCGGGCCGGGTACCTTACTTGGTGAGGATCATGAAGGGAACTTTGTATCTACGGGATCTGTCCTTTCTCTGTCACAATCTCCAGTTTCCAGAGCATGCTGTGGGAAGAACAGATCCAGGTGCTTGATGGTAGCGTAAAACAACGATGTGGTTCAAGCAGACTCGAGATGACGAAAGCGCCCTTGTGTGTAACAACCCTGCCTAAGGGCAACCTGCTCTGCCGTGCTCAACTGCTTCCCATGCTGCTGCATCAAGCTCTGCCACCCCCTCCTGACTTTCCTTGCCCGTACCACGTCGTCTGACCTGACTGTGCGCTCAGCTGGCTTGCATATACTTGGAATCTATGCTCGGATGAACAGGTGCTCAAGTTTTTCTACCAGGAATTAGAAACATGACTATGTTAATCATAGGGACCGGTGTAGCTTTCAGGGATCCCTGCACTCCCTTGTTGGTGTTTTTCCTTGCTCTCTGCAAAGTTTCTGCCATCTGTCGACAGCCCGAAGGCACCCATAGTGACGGCCCGCACTCGTTTATGAGCCACGCCGGGCACGGCTTGAGCCAATTCATAGCTGACGTCCGAGTGCTTTCTTTGTGACTGCAAGACTTGTCTGTGGAAGGAGCAGGTGGCAAAACTCGAGGCGCAGGGAAGACTGCGAATCCCGTTCTGGCACCCGCGATGCCCGCAACCAGGAAGAGCTTGCATCTGAAAGGCAGCGTTCCCTCCAAAAGGACTCCGGAAGTTCCGTAGCTGTGTAGCTCTTGAAAGCATGAAGACGCACGACATGTCAGGACCAGAAGATCGAGATGATGGAGGCTGTCGTCACAAGGCCCTGTGGCCTGGTTGTGCAGCAATTTCGCGCATCGCGAGATGTGAGGCTGCAAAGCCGCGTCGAGCTGTTGCAGGAGACCTCCGGCTGCGTGATGACGGCCGTGTATTGCAGTTCGCTTCTGTGCTTGTCCTGTCGCTGTGAGGATCATTTGAAGGAGCAGCGGGTGCCTGAGCAAATCGAAGTAGTTTTAGGGAGGTGTCGAGATGGGACGTGAGCCGAGGGAGCGGAAGAGCCGCGTCGCCAAGGGAAACAGCGAGGCTTTTCGGTGGGGGAATGTCGGGGACTGACTGAAGCTTGAAGCTGGCGGAAGATGTCGTCGTGGGGCGGAGGCCGTTCTGGAGCTGCAGCAGCAGCTGGCAGAGGAGCTTTCGAAGCGGAAGCCCTTTGGACTACTTGGAGATTTTTGGGAGTCGGCGTCGACGTCAACTAGCACAGCCTGAGGCAAGCACAGTATGAGCTCATCGCGAAGGTACGAGATGAATGCAGCAATGCAGCTCATGTTTGTCTCAACCTTGGTATTTCTAGGCAAAGGAGCTATGCGACGTTCAGCAGTGCCCCGCCAGAATTGAAATAACCGTTTGCTTCAGCCTCACCTGTTTCAAGCCTCCTGTGACACTTCAATGTGAAGACCCCTGGTCGTTTTGGTTTGCAAGGTTTCTGTGAGGTTGTTGCACCAAGGAAGATGGCAGGCGCTGGCGACACAAAGGATTCCTCCCACGAGGCGAGAGTGGCGAGAGTCGGGGATGTTGCCAACTTAGAGAACCTGAAGCCAAGGCCAAGAAGGAGCTTCGGGGACTCTCGGCAGGCCAAGGGCCAAGGGGCCAAGGGGGCCTAGGGGCGGTTCCAGGGACGGGACGGAGGCGCAGTCGGCGCCGTGTCGTGGTCGCCGAGCTCACAGCCCAAGCTCGCGGACACAGACTCGCGGCTCTCGCCTGGTGCTTGGCTGGCCGGTCCTGGCCGTTTGCGGCTTTCCGTTTGCGTTTGCGGATGCAAGGCCCGGCGCCAGCCGTGGCGCCAGCCGTGGCGCCAGCCTTGCAAGCCCGGCTGCATCGCCAGTATCCGCCGCGCCCTCCCTGATGCTGCCACTCTCTGGGCTCTCGGCGCCGCTCGGCAGAGAAGTCTTTTGAGGTCGCAGAGTCGCACCCTCTCTGGTTCATCCTGCTGCCTGAGGAAATCGTTCCACCAATGCCCTACCAGCAATACACCACAGACGCCGCCTACGTCGCGGAGCTCCGGAAGGAGTTGCCGCTTGCTGGGAGCTTTCGACTGCATGTGTTGTGCCAGGAGATGTTTTATGGCTCAAGATCTTAGGGTCCTGTGACGAAGAGCTTCTTTCTTGCTTCTCGTTGTTCCCAGTCTTCCGGATGAAGTGGTGGGGTCGCCGCCTCTTCTTCGGCTATGTTGAGGCAGTGCCGCCCAACGAGAAGCTGGCTGAGATGGATCCTGGACGCCACCTTGCAGGCTCCGGTGCCCCTGGCAGGCGACGAAAAGGAGGAGCCGGATGTGGACTGCCAATGGCGAGGCGGAGCTTTGCTGTAGGAAAAAGAGGCATTCATTACTTATTACCGAGAAGCCCTTGGTGACCCTGCACCATCTTGACGGTTTGGCGCCGGACTTCCCGGGCATGGGGCCGCGACTCAGCAATGAGATCCGTCGCCTCGAAGACCAGCGGCTCTTGCAGACCTGCCGGTGAGGAGGCTGTCATGCTTCCTGCATCAGCCGAACATCCTGCTGTTGGCCCTGACCGCAGTGTCACCGGCCTCTTCCGCTCCCGAGATTGCTGGTGCCCCGTCGCCGTAGCCGTAAAGTTTAATGTCGCCAATGTGCACCGCAGAATCATACGTTGCACATGGAGTTGCAGAATAACAATACGCAGGGTTAACGCCTCTGATCACGGCCGGGATTACAACGCTCCCTCGCTTTCCCTTCATCTCTGCACGTGCCCGATCACGCCAACCAGGCAAACGTTGATTCTCTTTCGTTGAGCTTACTTTTTGCCGTTTCCATCTTGAGCGGTTTCTCTCCCAACTTGCTGTGGAGATCTCTGTTCCAGCATATCAACGAGTGCCTCCTGCGGTGGGGCAGATCCACCACTCCCTCAGTCCATAAATGCAGTGAGCAAAGGGGCGAGCCACGGGCCAAGCTACCAGATTGCTGTCGCAACCCTCGATGCGTGCAAAGCCTGAGCAGCGCAGTCTTTCCTCCGCCTAACAGAGCCGGGGCTGGGCATTGCCACACCCGCAGTCTTTTCATATCTGTTCATCCTCTTTGATAATCTGTTCCCTTTGCTTGCGTTTGCCGAAGCAAAACCGTGTGGTGCCGAGGCTTTCTTTAGTGCCAGCTAAGTCTTCTGTTCATGGTTTTGAACGAAGGGCTCCGTCTGCAAGTATCCCGTCCCCTCCTGGACTTGGCTTTGGCAGGACTTCGCCAGCCCTCCGGCTTCCTGCAGGTGCCGCGTTGTGGCTTCTGTAGGTTCAAAGGCTATTTTATTTGGAGGTGCATTTCTTTTTGGAGTTCTTTTTTTCTTTTGAAAGGAATTCTTTTTTTTAAGGGTTTGGGGCCTAGTTCTGTATTTTACTAGGAAATATTCCAGTTTCTGTTTATTTTAAGAGGAAAACCTGCATT